AGCGGGGGGGGGAATTCCCAGACACCCACCCCCTTTCTGCCTCCATTTTATTTATTTCTCAACTTTCTTTTTCCACTTGCCAAGTGTGTACAGCTGAAGTTTCAACCAAAGTTTTCCATTCTGGAGGGGGAAAGAAGGCGGAGAAAGGAATAGATCATCTGTGCGACGACACCTTGAAAGCCCTTCCTCTGGCGTGGAAGCCATATGCTGCCTGGCCCGCTTTGCTCTTGGCTGCGCCTGCCCCATAAAAATAGCTCAGGTGCAACGTCACAGTGACAAGGTTGATTCAAAGCCTGTGTCGCCAGGTGTAGTGGGAGGAGCACGATGCTACCGTTCAGCGTTTAAGAGGCAGCACCTTTTCCTCCCCCAGCAACTGTTACGTGAACAGGCTTTCGGAAAGACACATATACATTCCCTCCAGGCCGCAGCTATGCCAGAGAACATGGGAAAGTCATTAGCAGTGCTGAGCTTGGCTCTCACACAGCAAGCCGTGCCATTAAGTCTAGTGGCTACTACTCCTCTGGTATCTTGATTTCAGCACAGATATTTTGGAGGGGAGGCTGAGGAGTGGAGCGTGCAGGGAGGGACTTGAAGGCTTGTTACATGTATTTGAGCAACACATGCTCATTCTATTCAGAAAAAAAATATTCCCGCAAGGACTTTCCTCCTGCCAACTCAGAGCCGGTACAGAGTCCCATGCCTCCTTGAATTTGGCTCCGCTGTTCTTAGCTGAGCCTTAAGACAGCATGCAATTAAGATAATTAAACTAAATAGCAGATGGCCCACCACCGCTTGCCATTCAAATCCAGAGCACAAATGCTCTGCTGGACGATACAAACGCAACGTCCGCAACAGCCAGGATATTCTTCCAAAGTCTTGGAGTAATTTCGCAGGCGCTGGGGACTGGCGGGGAAAGAGGGGGAGATTTCCCCCTTCTAGCACTCAACAAGGTAACTAGGATTTTATAATAGAAATTCTACATGACTTGAGGTTGAATACAAAAGTGAGGAACGCTGGCCACTGCAGCTTGGAAGGAGGAAGGCTGGACCAGAAGCTTGAGGGTTAAGTCCGGTAAAAAAAAAAAGAGGTTATTGGAAAATGAAATCGCCACACAGCTGCTATTGATCGGTGTAAAGATACGGCTTTTTAGAAAGCACCCTTGTGTATTCCCTCCCAATAATTGTAACAGTAAATGATATTATATACAGTAAAGTGCTTCTGGAGTATTAGCACACATTCGTTCTAGCAATGCTTACGACGACCCTGTAAGGTAGGTTAGTATTCTTGTAAAAGGAGGGGGTGCCAGGGCAAGAGTATCATGGAAACAGCAGAACCAAATACACCCAAGTTTCCAACTCTTGTCTCCCAGATGCAGCAGACTTTATTCTCTAAAACAGGAGCAACTATGCTGGAAGACAACAGACTTCTTTCAACTCCAGCCAGCATGGCGAGTGGTCTGGACATACGTTAGCTACTCCTGCGATTGAAACACACATACAGTACTATGCAATTGACAGAGGTTGTAGACATTGTGCACACGCGTGCGCTTCTCAGATCTGAGAGGCACAAGGTGGTGGTGGGGAGGATACGTAAAGCAATAAACGAGGCTGTCTGTTAATGTAAGCCTTTGCCACACACAAAGCACATGGCTTTAACACTGAGCAAACTGCAGAGGGATTTGCTACAGTTTAAACAGCCCAGGCAGCTTGGGAATTCAGTCTGCCCCTACGACTATTTCCACATCACAAGCCACAGATATGAGAGCAGAAACCCTGGCAGCCCAGTATGACGGGGTGGGGGTGGGGGCTGGCACAATCAATGCAAGTCAGTGCTACTGGACATGACAGCTGACCTCAGGGAGCTGGCTAACAAGAGCAGCGGAAACTGAAGGCCTGGCTTTCGAGGGCTGGACTTGTTGGACTTGTCCAATAAAACCACGCAATGAAGTGGCTTTTAACTACAGGGGGGCAGGGGAATTAAATTTACCAACCATCTATGAGCAATGCCCGAGGCAGCAAATGTTTGCGCTATTGTCATTAATTTATGAAGGCCCTAAAATGTCTAAATGCTGCACATTTTTTGGAAAAGAACAGTCCTTGGCCGCAGGCTTTCAATCTAATAAAGTCCAGACACATTAGGATGGAGGCGGGGAGCGAGAGAAAGGGGGCAGTGGGTGGAAAACCCGTATACAAGGTAGAAGTTCCCCTTCTTTCTCAGCATTTAATGGCCAAGCCACCCCAGTCTGGGGTGCGGGGAGAGAAGTGCTCCAAGGGAAGAGAACATACGCATCACCCATAAAAATGGTGTGTGATGTATGGGGATGCTAACTGAGCAGCCCAGATCTCCCAGGGGGGTTTTCTGTGGCTGAGCCAGTTTGTAATTAAAAAACGCTTCCCCAGCAGCTGAGGAGGGAAGAGGGATTGGGGGCGGGGGGGGGGGGGGCCGGGAAGCAGCAGTCATTCCTTCCAGCGGCTCTTCCCCATCCCCCTCTGCAGGATGAATCAATCAAGGGAGAATGCTGGGAGAGGGATGGCTGGCAACACGTGCTCTTCACAGGGCAGTAGCCCCAGCACTGCCTCTCCTCCTCTTCCTACCACTCCCTGCTCACCCCCCCCACACACCTCCATCAACATTTCCATAAGCAAACTCCAACCACCCTGAACAGTGACTAAGCTGCATCCGGTGTGCCCTCTTCTCTAGGCCCACACCTGCCCTCCCAACTCTCCATCGCAGGCAGCAGCACCCCACAGACCTCACCACCACCCCGGCCAACATTTTGCTCCCTGCTCTCCTCCCAAGAACTCTGCCACTGCCACCCCAACATGAAATAGAAAGGTATCCCCGCGAAATAACCTCCTCCACGTCATCAGAACCAGGATCAGCACGTGCTGGTGCCCTATTCATTTCCAGCCCCTAGCCAACTCTTTGCCCCTTCTGAATTTGTGCCCCCCAAAATGCAGCCCCTGGGTTTCTCCTGTCCAGAACCCACACCTCACGAAGCACACTGCCAGCCCCCTAAGCCAACAAACCCCACACCCAGAAGTCTCAGCCCAGTAACACCTATCTGCCACCCACAACCCTCCACATGCTGCTCGATACAAGGCGACTGCAGTCCTGCAACAGGGGGAAAGTCTCAATGGATTGCTTCAGAGTAGACCTGCACAGAACTATACACATCTAAGACTGCCCAGGGCAAAAAAGGCCCTCTGATAATCTAGCTTCCCCTTACACCTTACCTTTGGTGTGCTTTGTCATATTCCTAGATCATGCAATTTCACTTCCACCCCCAGGATCCACTGAACACCGCCACACACCGTGAATCCAGATTCAGAACCACTGTTTGGCAGACCAGAGTAAGCATGGGCTCTCTGTACCCCTATCACAGTCTACGTTCGGGATCCTATCCCCACCCAGGGCTGCCCTTTGTCCACCATCACCCCACTGGCAAGGAACCCCTGCACCCCAAATGTACCCCTCTCTGCCTCCTCCAACCCTCACATCACAACAGTATCACACACCCTTGAGAGCCAAGATCCAGGGCACTGAAAACCCCTCTCCCCACCATATTATCCCCCCCACCCGCAAAGGAACGCCTCTCCCTTTAGGGCACACGCAGCCAAAAGCTCACACAGGACTCAGAGCTAAGTGCATTTTTTTATTTTTATTATCTGTACAACACCTGGTGCACTTTGGAAAGCGAGATTACAATAAATAACACGCAGACAGCCATTGTCTCCCAAAGCAGCTCAGGGCAATTAAAACACACACACACACACACACACACACCAGACTGGCCCTACCGCCAGGGCTACACAAACTAAAAAGGAAGACAGGCAGGGGAGGAACAGAAGGGAAAGGTGGAGAAAGGTAAGTTCCTCAAGGCCAGAGCAAAGTGGTAAGCCGCAAATAATAATTACTATTGGCGTTGTTATTATAGATGCCCTCCAGTGTGTAATCTTGCTTGCTGCCGCCTCCACCGCTGATCCCAGCACACCCCATCAAAACCCACTGGTCCCCCCAATCTCTTACCTCGGACTCCCCCCACAAACCTTTCACACTTCTACCTTCTCTAAGCCACAACAGGAGCGCTGCCACCATGCAAAGGTATGTCAAGGAAGGTGGGGAAATGGCTCCCCCAAAATGCACGCTCGGGTTGAAGGCGGATCTCCTGGTGTCTGCAAAGGCTGAAGATCCTTGCTCCAGGCCAGGCCGTGGAAGCCTCTTTCCCGATCCCCATTCCTACCCCACCCTCGGAAACAATTTTATTTTATTTTTTTTCCTCGCCCAACGCGGGGAAGAAGCACCACCTACGGGAAAAAACCCCACTCGGGATCGCGCCACCTTCTCCTAACTCAAGACTTGCAAGCTTCTTCTCCCCCCCCCCCCCCGCGACCTCCTTTTCTGGAGCTTTAGTTTTCTCCCGTTTAAAAAAAATTAAACTTGCACGGATTCACACAGACACGCACGCACACGAGCCCCCGGGGACGACGAGGGAGTGCATGAAACCACATAATAATAATAATAATAATTCCAGTCCTAAGGTAATGGAGAGAGAAGAGGCCCAAGGGAGCAGCACTCTGCCCATGCCCAGAGGACCCCTCGCCCCTCTTTTTTATTTTTAAGGTTCTCCCCCCAGCCCTGTGGCAAGAGAGAGAGAGAGAAGGGGCCAAGGGAGCGGCACTCTGCCCATGCCCAGAGGAACCCTCGCCTCTCTTTATTTGTTTTTAAGGTTCTCCCCCCAGCCCTGTGGCAAGAGAGAGAGAGAGAAGGGGCCAAGGGAGCGGCACTCTGCCCATGCCCAGAGGACCCCTCGCCCCTCTTTTTTATTTTTAAGGCTGTTTCTCCCCCCAGCCCTGTGGCAAGAGAGAGAGAGAGAAGGGGCCAAGGGAGCGGCACTCTGCCCATGCCCAGAGGAACCCTCGCCCCTCTCTTTTCCCGTTTTTAAGGCTGTTTCTCCGCAGCTGCGGAGGGAAGCGGGGAGGCGCCTCCTCCGGGCTCACCTTGCGCTGCTGCTTCTCCCAGGCTGGGTCGAGCAGGAGGTCCCGGTCCCAGTCGTCCTCTTGAGCCATGTAGTCGCCGATGCCCGGCCCGTTGCCGCCGTACTGATAAGAGGGTTGCCCGGCAGCGTGGTAATCCACCATACTATCCGCTTCGGGACGCGGGGGAGCTTCGGCGCGGAGCGAGCGGCTGCCGTGTGAGGGAGAAGGAGCGCCCAGCTCCGTGCGAGGCGGCGGCACTGACCCAACTGACGACGCGCGGGCGCCGCCGCTGCCCAGAGGAGCCGCTGCGCCTGCGCACGGCCGCCCTCTCCGACACGCCCCCCTCGACCACGGAGCGCATGCGCATCCCTGCAAGGGTTTTTCTTTATGAAGAGGGCGGGGCGGTGGCAAACCCAGCAAGGACCCGCCCACAATCACAACAAAAACAAAAGCGGGACCCGCCCAGTCCTTTCTGATTTAGAAGAGCGGCCGCTCGGGAGGGCTTTGCGCACGCGCGTTTGGTGGCCACACCCACCCGCCCGCCCGATTGGCTCTTCTACGCTCCGCCCTCTGCTCGGCCCTCGCGCTTCTGTCGCTCAGAGGAGCGGCAAGGGTTGGGTTTTCATCTCGGCGCGCATGCGCGAGTGGGCTCGGCCCCACCTTCCCTCACCTCAGGGAAATCGCGCCCAAATCAGCCTCTTACGTTCATGGGCGGTTTTATTATATCATACGTGTTCTGTATGATTAATACTACTTTTTTTTTCCGCAATAGCGGCAGCGCCTCATTAAAAAGCATTCTAAATTAAAGACGTTAATTATAAACAGATAACGTTTGATCACCACGGGGTTGTTAATATTCATGAAGTGAGCTTAATTAATATGCCATGTCGTGGGTATTAAATTAGTACCTATTAATGTTGTCCAACACAGCAACAAGATAACATCATTAAATCTATAATATCCACACCACATTGGCTGGAAAACCGTTGCCTGCACTCAAATATCAATATAATCGAATTTTAAATGTGTTTCCCCTGCAAACAGTGTTTCCCCTTGCACAAATAATCTCAATAGTGATTTATTTTAACATCCTAGTTTGGGCTCTTGAGGAGGCAGGAGGGCACCGAGTTGCTTGGAGACTCGGTTTTCCTGCATCTCAGTAATGCCAACGTGCATTGAAAATAATATATGTACACAACATAAATTGAAACCGCTATGAAAAGACTTTTCAGCTGTCTTCCACCAAAAGAATTCTGGGAGCTGTAGTTTGTGGAGGGCGCTGAGATTTGTTAGGAGGCCCCCTATTCCCCTCAACAAGCTACAATTCCCAGTGGTCCCTGAAAAGGGACTGATGGTTAAACTGCTCTGGGAATTATAGTTCTGTGAAGGGGAATGAGGGGTCTCCTAACAGCCCTTGGCACCTTTCATGAACTACATCTCCCATCATTCTTTGGGGGAAAGCCATGGCTGTTTAAAGCGGTATCATAGCGCTTTAAATGTATGGTGTGGGTGATGGCCTCAGAAGGAAACATAACTGGGGCAGAGCCTGCACTTTGCATGATAATAAAAATAATAATTTATTATTTTTACCCCGCCCATCTGGCTGGGTTTCCCCAGTCACTCTGGGCGGCTTCCATAGAAACCAAAAACACTAAAATATCATACATTAAAAACTTCCCTGCCTTAAGATGTCTTCTGAATGTCAGGTAGTTGTTTATCGCTTTGACATCTGATGGGAGGGCGTTCCACAGGGCGGGCGCCACTACCGAAAAGGCCCTCTGCCTGGTTCCCTGTAGCTTTGCTTCTCGCATTGAGGAAAGGTCCAACATTTAATCCAGCTGGATCCCCAGTTTAAAAACAATCAGGTACAAAGTTGGACTGGGGTTGAACTAGATGACCTTGTGATCCCTCCCAACCCTACAATTCTATGAAAGTGATAGAAAGAACCTGGAGACCCTGGAAAGCCACTGCCAGTGAGAATAGATAGGTAGATAGATAGGTAGATAGGTAGATAGGTAGAGAGAGAGAGAGAGAGAGAGAGAGAGAGAGAGAGAGAGAGAATAGTCAGGGAGCCTCGGGCCTTGGGGCCTAATGTGGCCCCCATATCTCTTTATGTGGCCCTTGGAACTCCTCCTAAAGGACCTGCTTTGCACCCCAAGTGTTTTTCGCCTGACTGGAATGTGCCCTGGAACCCTGATCATGCCTCCTGCTTGTCTGGACATAGAAAAGACAGGGGCATGTGAGCATTTGCAGAAACTAGCCTTCAGCATAGCTGTCAACCGTCCCTTATTTGGCGGGCATCTCCCTTATCCCAGCGCCGTGTCCCGCTGCTGTCCCTTATTGATGATGTCCCTTAAATTTCCCGGGTTTCAAAGGAAGCAGCTCCTCTCCCTCCCTCCCTGCCGGCCAGGGTGGAGGGAGGCTCCCACTGTGTTGCTTGGCTGCGTTGCTCACCCAATAAGGAGTCTAAGAATGACTGGGGGTGGAGCTTGCATGCCTTGTGCTGATCAAATCGGCCGCGTTGCCTGGGGACTCGCCTTTGCTCAGCGCTTCCCAGCGGAGAGGTGACGGTGGTTTTCCTTGCTGCATCCCCTTTGCCGGATTGCTGCGCTGTGGGAACCACCGCTTGAGGCTTCGTTTGGCTGCTGGCTGGGCTTTCTGCCTTTGGCTCGGAGGGGCTCAGAAGTTGAAAATACCCGTGCTTTGAAAATCCCTTATTTTGGCTGCTGATCCCTTATTTTCGAGGCTGCTGGTCCCTTATTTTCAAATCTGTAAGTTGACAGCTACGGCCTACAGTGCAAAAGTAACATTTATGTGTGTTGCTCTGCCCACTTTTGACACCACTCAGCCAATGGGAATGTGGTTCCCAGAAGGTTCCCTAGAAGGAAATGCAGCCCCTCAGTCGGGAAAAGGTTCGCCACGCAAGACAACATTGAGTTAGACAGTCTGATTTGATAGAAAGGTGCTTCTTTGTCCGATACGCAGGGCCTGCATTTCTCGAAATAAAAAGGCTACTTGAAGGCAAACCCTTCTTGCATCAATGTAGTTCTTGTCTCCAACCACCCGAGTAGATCCTATGGTCCTGGGTTTGGAAAGAGAAATTAGCTGCCCTTTGCACAAGAAAGTGTCTCGTTCCAACAAGTTCTAGGCAGCAGCAGAAGAAGAAGCAACAGGTCACCAGCAGAAAAAAGCAGATTTTTTTAAACCACAGGTTCCCTAAACTGTAACCTCACTATCTGTGTCTATGGTAGGTTCCCTAAACTGTAACCTCAGTTTTGCGCCACGAAAGGAAGTGGTCGAATCCTCTATCCACCAGCATGACTGATCATGACAATCCAGGATGAAAGCCATGGACAGCTTTTTATTCTGACACGGCTCTTTTACCTATTTTATTATAAATATTAGAAAAATTTCATTTATAAAAAGATAGAGTGAGGGGGAAAGGAAGACAAAAGTGAGAATGGAGGAAAAAAATACTGTTACATTAAAGGTAAAGGGACCCCTGATCGTTAGGTCCAGTCGCTGACGACTCTGGGGTTGCGGCGCTCATCTTGCTTTATTGGCCGAGGGAGCCGGCATACAGCTTCTGGGTCATGTGGCCAGCATGACTAAGCCGCTTCTGGCAAACCAGAGCAGCGCACGGAAAGGCCGTTTACCTTCCCATTGGAGCGGTACCTATTTATCTACTTGCACTTTGTGCTTTCGAACTGCTAGGTTGGCAGGAGCAGGGACCTAGCAACGGGAGCTCATCCCATCGCAGGGATTCGAACTGCCGACCTTCTGATCGGCAAGCCCTAGGCTTTGTGGTTTAAAACACAGCACCACCCACGTCCCTCTACTGTTACATTACCATACATTAATATACAGCGGTACCTTGGTTCTCAAACTTAATCTGTTCCAGGAGTCTGACACCCAAAACGGTTCAAAAACCAAGGCGCAGCTTCCAATTGGCTGCACTCAAGCGGAAGCCACGTTAGATGTTCGGCTTCCGAAAAAGGTTCGCTTGATTTCATCGGCACTGAATCCTTCAACATTCAGCTTCATCAGATGGTCCCAAGTTCCAGTTTTATGAGAGAGCTCAAAAAGAAATACACACAAAGCGTTTCTCTGCCTGCTTCCTGGAAAAGCCAACTAGCTTTATCCAGCGAACATTTGCACATGTTCTAAATATGTGCGGAAACGATTCTAAACTACCACGGACACATCCATCAGTAAGCTGAGTGCCCCCAGGAGACATTCCAAAATAGGAAGCCGGTGCAGAAAGTCCCGCAATAGGAACCAATTAGTTCCGTCCACCTGCACAGAAGTTCAGGCCTTCAGCAGCACATTCCTTCGCTGTGCATTCCATTTTGCATAGTCACGCAATCCCTTGGACAGACCCGCAAGGGAGCACAGGGATAGCTGCCCAGGGACCCAGGCGTCTAGTAGTCATGATCACATCTGCAAGGAGCAGCAAGCAGCTCAGACCTGGACAAATTAAACCTGCATTAGAAACCTTCTTTGCAGCGTTCCTGGGTCAGGGGGGATTGGAGCACCCTCATCACGAAAAGGACATCATCAACAGTGCCTCAGAGTAACACAGATTGTGTGCCAAAGTTAAGGTGTGTGTGTACAACATGCAATGTTGTGTGTAAAAGGTAAAGGGACCCCTGACCATTAGGTCTAGTTGCGGACGACTCTGGGGTTGCAGTGCTCATCTCGCTTTACTGGCCAAGGGAGCCGGCGTACAGCTTCCGGGTCATGTGGCCAGCATGACTAAGCCGCTTCTGGCGAACCAGAACAGTGCACGGAAACGCCGTTTACCTTCCCGCCGGAGTGATACCTATTTATCCACTTGCACTTTGATGTGCTTTCGAACTGCTAGGTTGGCAGGAGCAGGGACTGAGCAACAGGAGCTCACCCCGTCGCAGGGATTCGAACTGCCGACCTTCTGATCGGCAAGCCCTAGGCTCTATGGTTTAAACCACAGCGTCACCAGCATCCCTCTCAGCAGTTGGTACCTTTTATCATATGTGGTGGACATGTAAAGAAACAAAAAAAATCTGGGAGATGATATATAATGAAATAAAAAAAATGTTTAAAATAACTTTTGCTAAAAAATCAGAAGCATTTTTATTAGGAATTATAGGTATTGAGATACCAAAGGACCAGAAAAGATTGTATGCCACAACAGCCGCACGGATGCTATTAGCTCAGAGGTGGAAGGAAGAGACAACCCTGACCAGAGAAGGATGGCAAACCAAGTTGATGGACTATTCCGAAATGGCAAAATTAACTGGGAAGCTCAGAAATCAA